ATCCAATCTGCGGGTTCGTCTTTCATCAGTATATCAGACAATGTTCCATGACTGTTCAAATGGTTTCCAATGGCTAATCTTTCGGAAGTGGTCTGCCTCTCTTCTTTCTAGTCTTATTCTGGAAACAAACCTGTCTAGCATGGGTGACCTTGCTAGTATTTAAAATACTGGTGGCATAGCTTCCAGCATCACAGCAACACATAAACGACCATAGTACGGCAAACTGACAGAAAAGAGGTGGAAGAGGATACTATGTGATTTTAAACCAGGAATGATGTGTCAGGATTGTGTCCTTTAACCACACTTGTTCAATAGGCTCATTAACAACCTGAGATATGCATATGACACAATCTGGCGAGATGTCCTTTGGTGAGTAGTGTTGGGGTCTTAAAAGCTTGTGAGTGGCCATCTAATATATAACCTTTGGCCTCTTCCTTTCTGAAATAAAGGCAAGTGAAGAAAACCAAGACTTAAGGGAACAATTAGTGCAAAAAATAAGAACCTATGAACCACAGCTTACACAATCCTGAGAGGAGCATTAAGTGATTCCCAACTACCACTTGTTGTTGTTAAGTGCCATCAAATCGGTTCCAATCCACAGCAACCCAGCAGCTGGTGAGCTTGAATTGCTGACCTGCAGTTCTCACAGCTTTGCAGTATGGCTCATTAACCCACAGTGCCACACCAGGACTCCTACCACTACTGACCATTAATTAAGTGGATCACAACAACAGAGGTTTTATGGACAGAGAAGGTAAAAAATGTAGAATAAAAATCAAATTCACAAAAACATCAGATTTAATGTTCTGACAGAGACTGAAAGACATGCCAAGACTGCAAACTATGGCCCTAAGACATCCATCTAACTTGGAACTGAATCCATTCTTGGAAGACAACTTTTTAACTCCATCATCAGCCAAAACAAGACTAGGGCAGAATGTGAAACAGACCATCAATTGCTCATATGCAAATTCAGACTAAAGGTGATGAAAATTAAATCAAGCCCACAAAAAAATAAAATATGATCCTGAACATACCTTACCTGAATTTAGAGATCATCTCAAGAGCAGATTTGATGAATTAGACATTAATGACTGAAGACCAGAAGAGTTATGGGATAACATCAATAACATCATACAGGAAGCAAAAGGTCATTAAAGACAAGGAAGATGGCAAAGTCCAAACTGAGTCATGTTGCTGTTTTTAAGTGCCGTCGAGTCGATTCCGACCCATAGTGACCCTGTACAGGGTTTCCGAGGCTGTAAATCTTTATGGGAGCAGAACGCCTCATCTTTCTCCCACAGAGCAAACTGGTAGTTTCGAACTGCTGGCCTTAAGGTTCACAGCCCGATTCGTAACCACTACGCTACCAGAGCTCCTTAAACTGAGTCATAAAAGACTCTAAAACTTACTCTGAGGCAGAGATGTCAAAGCAAATAGAAGAAATGAGATAAAAGAGCTGAACTGAAAATTTCAAAGGACAGCTCAAGAAGTCAAAGTCAAATATTATAAAGAAATATGCAAAGACATGGAGTTATAAACCAAAGTGAAGAACACACTCAGCATGTCTCAAATTGAGGGAAGTGAAGAAAAAAATTCAAGCCTTGACTCGATGCATAAAGCATAAAATGATGCATAAAGCATCAAAAGAAGATGGAAGGAATACAGAGTTACTGTACAAAAAGAAATGGTTGATGTTCAACCGTTTCAAAAGATAGCATATGATCAAGAGCCAATGATACCGAAGGAAGAAGTCCAAGGTGCATGAAGGCAGTGCCAATAAGCAAGGTTCCGGAAATTGATGGAATACAAATTGAAAATTTTCAACAAACTGAGGCAGTACTTGAGGCACTCACTCATCTATGCCAAGAAATGTGGAAACAGCTACCTGGCCAACTGATTGGAAGAGATCCATATTTGTGCCCATTCCAAAGAGAGGAGATCTAACGAAATGTGGAAATCAAGGGACAATATCATTAATATAATACCCAAGTAATATTATGCTAAAGATAATTCAAAAGTGGCAACAGTACATTGAGAGGGAACTGCCAGAGGTTCAAGTTGGATTTTTAGACTTGGACGTGGAACATGACTGCTGTCAGATGAATCTTGGCTGAAAAAGAAGAGAATACCAAAAGATGAGTACTTGTGCTTCATTGACTAAATTACAGAGAATGAGTATTCCAGAACACTTAAGACCCTGTTCGAAATGATGCGTTTGAGTTACGATGCTAGATGAGACTGTTAGAAGTATCACAGACCACCAAAAGAGCAAACAAATCTTTGTTGGGAGAAGTACAGCCAGAATGTTCCTTACAAGCCAGGATGGCCATACCAGAGTCTCTCACACTTGACATATTATCAGGAGAGACCAGTTCCGGGAGGATAGCATGCTTTGTAGAGTAGAGGGACAGGAAAAAAGAGGAAGACCCCCAATGTAATGAACTGGCACAGTGGCAGCAGCAGTGGGCTGAAGGGTAACAATGTTGACACTGACACAGGACTGGACAATGTTTCATTCGGTACTGACTCAGTAGCACTTAACAACAACAGGGTTTCTAAGGACTGGGTAATGGGCTTGCGGCTAGCAGTTCAGTCCTTATCCTACAGTGCCACACTAAAGGCCCACATATAGGTTCTTGTTGTTAAGTGCTATCAAGTGGGTGCTGACTCATATCGACTCTATATAGGGTTTCTGAAAAGCAACTGGTAGGTTCGAACTTCTGACCTTATAGGATAAGTGATGTTACATTATAGGAATTACATGAAACAAAATGTGTATGAAATGACTAATGGAAAACTGATTTGTAAACCCACATGTAATTAATTCACAAAAACATTAAAAGTATAAGAGAAATGTTCACACTATTATCAACAAAATTAATGGAAAGTATTTTAATGTGCTCAGAAATTACATCTTGCAAATGTTGATGCTACATGCTATTGAGTCAGTTCTGACTCATAGTAACCCTGTATAGGTTCTCTAGGAGCTGCTGTGGGGTTCAACCACTGACCTTGCGGTCCAGTGCTTATTCTACAGTGCTATACCTCTATTATAATGGTCCCAATTACCATTCCGTAACTATTCCCAACTTCTCAACAGAAATTATTCTTCCCATTTTATGGTCTCCTTACTACTAAGACAATGTCTCATGTGCAAAACTCTTGATCTTTCTTTGCTCAGGCTATTCCATATGTTATAACATACTTTCCTCTTCAAATCCTTCTTCATGCTTTTAACTCTCAAGCATTTTTTGAGGATCTATGCTTCTGAAGGAGGCCACCATATCCAACTGCTCCACAAATTTTCTTAAAACTGCTTCAGTCCACACAGACCTCTTGTGAACACCTTGTGCTCCACAACTGTACACTACCTGGATTTCTAACACTGTAGCAGTTTCCTGTATCTCCCATTTAACTATTCCTATTTTGCTCTCCTGCTAAGATTACGTGCCAGGAGATTTGAACTTCCTCGTTGGCAATGACAGCTTATTATTATTCTCTCTAATTTTAGTCACTCACTTACCAGAACTATAACAACTGGCACTCTGACAGAGGTTGAAGCAACAGCTGGAACATTCCTTAGCAGGAAGATGGGTAGCTGGTGGGAACACAAGAAAACACCAGTACCAATGCTGTAAATGTATAGTTCTCTCCTGCTCAGAACAAAAGCAGCAGTTTATCAGCTACTTTGAAGTCAGTCCCATAAAGGACACTGGAGGCTAACTACCAGCCCCAGAATTAGAGAGTTCACAATGGCATCTGTGTAGCTGTTAGGACCAGAAAAAAAGTCACTACTTTGGTGTAAAGCTCTTCTTATGCCTTTCATAATTTTCCCATATAAAACCTTCCACGTGGCCTACTGATTTCATTATTTTCACCACAAAATCTCTTCAACATAGTACTGTTCTCACCTTCCCAACATTAAGATTTTTCTTCTGATCCCCAAGCCCAGATATGGCTTTCATGTTAATATCAATTATTTATATGAACTATAATTTGCTTAATTATGTAAACACTATGTTTGGAGCACTCAAAACACTTGGATCTTCAAAGATGACATTCCAATGTACTCTTCTTAAAAGAAATCAGATGTAGGTTCCTGCAATGTACTAATAGTCCAAACGAAGATAAAGTTCACTGAAAGGCAAAATAAAGAGCACTAGTGCTTAATGTACTCTACCTTCACAGTTTACAAAAGCTTACCTGAAGCAGATGATATCGAGTTGATTCTGACTCATAACTACCCTTCATAGGGTTTCTAAGGCCGTAAATCTTTATAGGAGCAGAAAGGCTCATCATTCTCCTGCAGAGTGGCTGATGGGTTTGAACTGCTGACCTTATGGTTTATGTTGTTGTTGTTAAGTTCTGTCAAGTCGGTTCCGACCCACAGCAACCCTGTACAGGGTTTCCGAGACTGTAAATCTTTACGGGAGCAGAAAGTCTCATCTTTCTTCTGCGGAGCGGCTGGTAGTTTTGAACTGCTGATCTTAAGGTTCGCAGCCCAATTCGTCACCACTACGCTACCAGTCCAGTGCTTATACTACAGTACCACTGTTGTTGTGGTGAAGTGATGTGGAGTTAGTTCTGATTCATAGAGAATCTGTATAGGATTTCCAAGGAACAGATGATGGATTTGAACTGCTGACCTTGTGGTTCAAACTGACATTGCAATCGAGTGCTATTTTATAGCACCACACCAGGACTCCACTAGGGCTCCTTTAACAGCTAAATATAAAGAAGAGCCAAACATTGGAGATAATTTTGTTTTTACATAGGTAAAAAAATAATGATTAAGAAAAAATTAGTAAGATGGGTTTCTTAGTCAATCAACAGAAGAGGAGATTGCAGCATTAGAGTAAGAATGCGATTTCAAAAGGAAAATATTACACTGAAAACAAATAATTCACTGTTTTATAAAAAATATCAAATGTAATTTTATGTCTTAAAACAAAGTTTCCTACTTCTCAAACCCTATATAGGGATCAAGAGACACTTACTCATAATTTTTCACAAGCTGATAAAGGCAAAGAAGAATTCCTAGCCAACAAGCACTGTTATCAGACTGAAGATAAAAGCCAATTTTGTCCACAATGGCAGTCCAACGGCTTGGATAATCATGTTTGATGATATGATGAATGCATGTAGTAAGTTGTACCCTAAAAGGAAAAAATAGAATAAGGATGAAATTATACCCAGATAAAATTTTGCTAACTCACAGAAAATGGCTGTATACAACAAAACTAATTTAAAATAACGGTCTGATATTTGGTTACAGATGAGTGACAATAAGTCACTCAACAAAAACTGTTCCTGATTTTAAAAATAACTAAATATCTGTTATTTTTAAATAAAGTTATTTAAAATAAACACTTGATGCCAAATGTTTCCATTTGTCATCCCCTATCATCATCATTTTCAGCAACCTTGTACAGGGTTGCTATTGGTCGGAATTGACTCGACGGCACTTAACAACAACAACAATCATCATTTAAAATTCTGAAAAATCACAAAAATAAAGGAGATCTTAAACATCAAAATGCTACAATAAGTTAAAATAAATACATACCTTATAAGCTCAGGGGAGTGAATAATGGCTTCTACAATGTTTTCTCGAATACAATGTCGATCTTCTTCTGGAATAGTGTAAGGAGATATATCCCCTGGTGCTGTTTCTCGATCAGGCCAATACTGTGTTATCATATTTTTCAAATATATAACACCTGAAACAGATTAGTTTGACCAAAAGATGTTTACTGTGATGACCTGGTAAGTACCCCTTCTATGTGTCCACACCTCAATCATTTCTTTCAGACCATTATTTAAAAAGTTGATCACCAAATATCAATTTAATACTCTCAACTGCAGCAATCAACCTACAAAGATATTATTAAAAGTATGAAATATATAAAAATTAAACAGTTACATGACTTTTGTACATTACATTTACTCTTACAACTTTTTTTTTGGCTTTCTATAGGACAGCTATTTTAATTTTAGCAGATCCGTTTTCTAAATGAAGCCTCTATACAATTTTCACACACTATTCCTGGTGTGGTGTTGTAGGATAAGCAGTGGACTGCTAACTGCAAGGTTGGAAGTTCAAACACACCAGTCACTCCTCAGAAACCCTATACAAGGCTATTATTGTAAGTCGGAAGTCACTCAACAACATGTAACTAACAACATTCCAATATAATTTCTACAATTATGTTAATAACAAAAATTTCAATTTTTCTTTAAAATAGCGGGGGGGGGGGGGGCTACAGTATAAAGATGTAGTCCATTAAAGTCATTCTGAGAGAAAAAGATGTGGCAATCTGTATGCATAAGTAAAGATTACAGTCTTGGAAGCCCTATGGGGCAGTTCTACTCTGCTTTATAGGGTTGCTATGATTCTGAATGGACTCAGTAACAATGGGAAATCAGGCCTGGTAAAGTACTTCCGAAAGGTCAGTTTTAAAATCCTACAGAGTGCAGTTTTACTCTGCACACAAAGGGTTGTCAGAAATCAGAATCAAGTCAATGGGAACCAAAAACTTTGAACAAAGTTAACTCAAATTGATGTGGCAAAATGTAAATTGTTAACAATGCTTTCTGCCCAGACCTTCCCTTTAATATAAAAGGAGAAACTAAGGGACAAAAATTAAAACAGAAAAAGCTCAATCACAAATGCTTAGAAAACAAAGTTTCTCAAAATTAATTTTTAAGTTCTGCAAAACACAGACTCTACTTCTGTGTTCAGTAATTAACTCTTAACTGGAACCCTAATCCTATTTAAACCAGTATAAACAATACTATAAGGATTTATATACTTCACTTTATCCTAGTGATTAAAATATTAAACCATCTTGCATTATTAAAAATTTTTTTTTAGGAATACACTTTGAACAAGTTTCGAAATTAATGTTATATACAGTAAAAGAGCACTGACTCAATATGTAGGACTGATACAGGAGGGAACTTCAAAAAGTTCATGGAACTCAACTAGAGGAAGAGAAAGAAGTTTGAAACAGGAAGCAAATGTAAATTGCTACAATTTGATGAACTTGACCTTTTCCTATGGATGTAGTTGCTCAATACTGAGAAGGAGTCTTCAGATCAAGATATTTACACAGGGTTGATAGGGAAGGGCAACTCACACATCAGTTACCTAAAAGGCAGGAATTGGCTGGCTTACAAGTTTTCAAGACGGAGTTTCGGTTCACAGTGTGTGTGTGGGGTTGGAGGAAACACAGAATCCCCACTTGAATAGCTTTCATCTTACCTAGATGGGTCTGATAAAAGGAGATGGGGGTAGACTTATTTTGATTCAACAGTAATTGTTATCATGTAACAATTTAACTGTAAAGGTAATAGATGTGCAACAAAAGGGGGGAAGTAGTTAATCTTACAGGACCTCAGGACCATCAGGAGGGAAGATTATGAGGGAAACGTGCAATCCTACCCAGACAAGTAGTGACACCAGAGACAGAGGCATGGAAAGATAGTATAAGGACTCTAGACTCATGGAAAGAGAAAGGCTGTGCTGGTGAGTAGGAGGCTAGCTTGCAAAATGTGCCCTTTGGTTGCTTGTTGTTGTTATTGTTAAGTGCCGGTGTGTCAGTTTCGACCCATAGCGACCCTGTATAGGGTTTCTGAGGAGTGACTGGTGAGCTTAAATGGTTATATATTCCTTCGTGGTTTTGTGTACATCAAAAAAAAAAAAAAAAAAAAAAAAAGAGGAATAGAGGCAAATACTCTTAAATCGATGGGCATGGAGGTTTTTTTTTTTTAAATCATTGCAGTGAAACAAAATACAATAGGTTGAGCGCAAACTGATGTTCTTCGATGTAAACGATCACTTAATTTACACAATAAAAGCTTCAAAAAAATTTCATGGAAAAATGGAATTAAAAGATAATGAAATTTTTGTTCATCATCCAGGAGACATCAAGAAAAGTGGTCGGGTCCCTTCAGGGCAAACCCCCTTCCAAGACTAAGACTCAAAGGGAATACACGAGCAGACATGCGCTCTGACTAGTGACCATGTTTGTCACCAATAAGGGGAAGCGATGGAAAACAGCAATGAAGCTGTGAACTAAGCCCTACAATGTTCAATAGTCTCCTGTGAACCCAGGAGGAGGCCTGGTTGGCCAGCAGTGTGGCAAGACCTGAGGACTCTTGGGCCCAGAGTCAGTGACACAGCCACACAGGACGAGACTGGAGAGGGAAGTGTCCAGTTGATAAGAAGAGAGGGCATATGCACAAGAACACCTACACTTGCAGATAATACCCACTTGACCTGGCTTCAATGACTGGATGATCAGAGGTCAACTAGAAGAAGAAAGAAGAGGAAACAAAGAGTAATCTGATACAATTTGATGAACTTGATCAACACTTATGGATGCAATATCTCAAAGGAGGGTCAAATCTTTATACCGAGGATTATTCCCACACCCTCCATACACAGAGTAGACGGGCATGGGCAACTTAGACATTGGCTATCCAAAATGGGGGGGCTACAAAGGCAAGAAGTGACTGGCTTACAAGCTTTCAAGAGGGAGCCTAGATCCAGAGGGCATGGAGGAAGGTAGAATCTCCACTGAGTAGTAGCCAATCTGTCTGGGCCAGGCTGAAAGGAAATGTGGATAGGTCTCTTGTTATACAATAATAAGTAATTGTTATCAGGACTGATTGTGTGGGCTGGAAATGTAAAAGTAGTGACTGACTTTGTAGTCTATGAGCGGAGGTCCCTGGGACCATCAAGGGAGAAGAGTGAAGAGCGGGGCCCTACCCAGAGAAGCAGTGACGCCAGAGATGGAGGCAGAGATGATGACACGGTGAGATGGAGCTGCTTGGGACTTTAGACCCAGAGAGGGAGAGGGGCTGTGTGCTGACGATCGGAGGGCAGGCTTGCAGGGTATATATACCCTTTGGTTGGCTGATGATGCATGGAGGGGACTGTAACCATGGCAATGAAATGATATATGATAGGATGAATGTAAAGCTAATGTTCTCCCATGTGAACTATCACATAATTCACTAAACATTAAGAAAAAAAAAAAAAAAGATAATGAAATTTTTGCACAAACATTTGGAGCCACCTCATATTTGAGATTAAAACTATTTCTAGAACTTTGATTCTTCAGATCCAAACCCGAACAAAGATCAAAATTAACACTAAATACAAGCTATGGACAACATTGCGAAGTATGAGTATTCCAGAACACTTAATTGTGCTCATGAGGAATCTGTACCTGGACCAAAAAGCAGTTGTTCGAGTAGAAAATGGGAACAATGAATGGTTTTCAAATTAAAACTGGTGTCCAACAAACTTGTATTCTTTCACCAAACTTATTCAACCTGTATGCTGAGCAAATAATCCGAGTAGCTGGGTTCTATGAAGAAAAACATGGCATCAGGATTGGAGGAAGACTCATGAACAACCTGCGATATGCAGATGATACAACCTTGCTTGCTGAAAGTGAAGAGGGCTTAAAAAACATTTACTGATGAAGATCAAAGAGCACAACATTCAGTATGGATTACATCTCAATGTAAAGAAAACAAAATTCCTCACCACTGGACCAATAAACAGCATTCTTATCAATGGAGAAAAGACTGAAGTTGTCAAAGACTTCAGTTTACTCAGATCAACCATCAACACTCACTCACGGAAGCAGCAGTCAAGAAATCAGAGGATATATTGCATTAGGCAAATCTGCTGCACAGAAACTTTTTAAAGTGTTTAAGAGCAAAGATGTTAGCTTGAAGACTAAGGTGCGCCTGACCCAAGCCATGGTATTTTCAATAACCTCATATGCATGTGAAAGCTGGACAGTGAATAAGGAAGATCATAGAAGAACTGATGCTTTTTAGTTATGGTGTTGGAAGAGAAAATTGAAAGTGCCATGCATGGGCTGCCAAAAGACCCAATAGATCCGTTTTGGAAGAAGTGCATCCAGAATGTTCCTTAGAGGCCAAGATGGCCAAACTTCGTCTCTCATACTTTGGACATATTGTCAGGATGGAGAAGGATATCATGTTTGGTAAGGTGGAGGGTCAGAGAAAAAGAGGAAGACCCCCAATGAGATGGATTGGCCAAGTGGCAGCATCGATGGACTTAAGCGTGCCAACAGTAGTGAAGTTGGCCCAGGATTGGGCAGTGTTTCATTATGCTATGCATAGGTTTGCTATGAGTAGGTTCCGACTCGATGGCACCTAACAACAGCTCATGTGTCTGCTAAATGCAAGCTCTGAATATTTCTTCATCATAATGAATACAGGAATGAGATATATGTACTTATTTGTACAATTCTGAGTTGGTATTTGTGACACTAAGTTGGTGTTTGTGGTACTAAGATTTTGTGTGAACTTGACTGAGCCAAGATTCTCAGTGGTTTAGAGATGAAATGTATTTATCTCCATGAGATCTAATAAAATGCAATTGACTATGATGAAATCTGCTATGAGCAATTAAAAAGCTGTTTCCTCAGGTTGTGGCCTGCTTCCAATATATTAGACATTCAGGCAAAGCTTGCTTGCTCTCTGCTAGGCCAGGATCTTGCATCTGGCTCATCCTCTGACCTCTGGTTCTCTGGACTTAAGCCAGTGACCTGATCTACTATCTTCATGCCACCTGGTCTGCTGTTCTTGGTTCATCTAACCTGGACTTGGGACTCTCGCTCATCTACAACTGTGTGATATAAATATATTTAAGCTTCAATGGTTTTGGTCATCAGGAGAACCTAACCTAAGGCACCATTAAATTAGAATCTGCCCCTCTTTCCCAGTCCACATCCATTTCCTACATCCCTCAAAGCAGTTACACACTTGTCTCATCCACATTCAACTTTCCTACTCTGCTCCAGGTTCAACAAAACAGCTCAAGTCTTTCAAATTTGGCTAGTGGTTTAGCCAAACACTTCAGGTTTGAAAATATATGTCTAAGTTTCACTCCTCTAGAAAACGCAGCCTAAGACAGTTTTTGTTTACCTACCCCCTGCCACCCTGGTTGGATAAAACAAAGAACTGGAAATGGTACTGCAAAGATCTTATGGCTTATATGTATTTTTTATATACAACCCATGTAGAAAACTTGAATTTGACTACAAAGATGAAACAACTTCCTTAAGACATGCATTACAGAGATCATTCAATTATTGTTATTGTTGTTGTTGTTAAGTGCCGTTGAGTCATTTCCAACCCATAGCAACCCTGTGTAGGGTTTCCAAGGAGCAGCTGGTGAGCTTGAACTGTCAACCTTGCAGTTCAAACTGACTTTGCAGTCTGGCGCATTAACCCACAGTGCCACACCAGGACTCCTTATTGTTATTGTTGTTGTTGTTGTTGTTGTTAAGTGCCGTCGAGTCGATTCCGACCCATAGCGACCCTGTACAGGGGTTTCCGAGGGTGTAAATCTTTACAGGAGTAGAAAGCCTTATCTTTCTCCTGCGGAGCAGCTGGTAGTTTCGAACTGCTGACCTTAAGGTTCGCAGCCCGATTCGTAACCACTACGCTACCAGAGCTCGTTGCTATTAAATCCGTTTCAATTCATAGTGACCCAATACACAACAGAATGAAACATTGCCTGCTGCCTGGTCCTATGTCATTTTCACAACTGTTGGTACGCTTGAGTCTAATGATACCGCCACTGTGTATTTTAAATGCTTTGCAACCTAGGGATTACACCTCAACAAAAGGAAAACATAAATAGCCACAACTGGTCCAATAAGTAACATTATGATACACAGAAAAGATTGAAGTTGTCAAAAAATTTCATTTTACTTGGATCCACAACTAATGGCTAGGGAAGCAGCAGTCATGAAATAAGATGAAGTACTGTATTAGCAAATCTGCTACAAAAGATCTCTTTACATTGTTAAAAAAATGAAAGATGTTACTTGGAAGACTAAGATGCATCTGACTCAAGCCATGTTACTTTCAATTGCCTCATAAGCATGTGAAAGCTGGACAATCAACAAGAAAGACTGACGAATATGGTACTGGTGAAGAATATTAAATATATCATAGATTGCCTGAAGAAAAAAAAATAAATCTGTATTGAAGAAAGTAAAACAACCAGAATACTTCTTAGAAGCAAGGATGGTAGACTTTATTTCATGTACTTTGAACATGAACATCAGAAGGGAATAGTCCCTACAAAAGGACAACCTGCTTAAAGGTAAAGTAGTGAAAAAGAAGTAGACCTTCATGAGATAAACTGACACAGTGGCTGTAAGATTGGACTCAAGCACAGGAAGGAATGTGAGGATGGCGTAGCACAGTGCGATGTTTCATTTTGTTTTGCCTGGGTAACTATGAGTTGGAACTGACATAGGTACACCTAAAACCCAACAACAAATTAAGAGGTTCATCTTCTAGCAAAGTAAAAACAATGTTCTGTTGTGATCCATAGGAATCTCATTGACTTAATTTTTGGAAGTAGATTGCCATCCCTTTCTTGTTAACCTGTCTTGTCTGGAAGAGCCATTGAAAACTGGTGACCCTGTTGGCATAACTTCCAGCATCATAGCAACACACGTCTCCACAGTTACAAAAGAAGTGATGAACAGGTAGTGAATTCAACTGTTATGAGTACAACTTAAAAATTAGTGACAAGCAAAAATAAAATTAATGACATTTTAAATTTGACAAAATTACATGGTTTAGATGGTTCTGGTGTTTATACAATTAATCATTTTCTAATACAATATAATTTTGCTTATACAATCAAATTTCTAGAATACATTAAGCTCTTTCTAAAAATCAGAGTTACAACTTTAGTAAAAATTAGAAATTAATTAAGAAATAATCACATGAGAAATATTCCATTTTAATGCCACTCTTGCTGTTTCTTTTAAAAAAAAAAAAAAAGATAAATGACTTACATTTATCTATTTATTTACTAGGTATCTAGTGTGTTAGGCAATGAATTCTTTAGGCTCTAGAATAAAATTGTGGGGTGGGGGGAAAGCATAACTGAAGAACTTAAATTCTACTTCTAATAACAGAGAAGCTCTGGTAGTGTAGTGGTTACGAATCTGGCTGTGAACCGCAAGGTCAGCAGTTCGAAACTATCAGCTGTTAAGCGGGAGAAAGACAAGGTTTTCTGCTCCCATAAAGATTTACAGCCTCAGAAACCCTGTACAGGGTTGCTATGAGTCGGAACTGACTCCATGGCACTTAACAATAACAGAGAAATGTTCATCATTACATGACATAATTAGCTCTCAAAGTGTGAAAACTAAGAAATGTTTATACTATGTAAGAACATTTAAAATTTAGCATAGGGAAAAAGAACAAGAAAAAATACCAAAATAGAATTGTTTTTTCAAGAACGATATGATTATTGGTACTTTGTATTTTCTATAACAAAAGTAACCCATCCGCAAACCAAACAAGAAGAAATTAGAAGATGTGAATTGCATTATTTTGCAAGCTAATAGACAATATTCAGAAGTAGTTTTCACCTTTTCTCTTTCCAGGTTTCCTCTTAATTCAACTAAACAGGACATTATTTCTTTAAACTCTACCACCAAATACCAAGACATTTGTTTGTTGTATGTAGTTAATACTTGATGGCAAAACTAATTCCAAGGAAGAAAAATCACTGAAAAGTCAACTCTAGATGCTTCTGTTATTCAAGTATGAGCCTTTTCAACAATATATTGACACTCAAAATAATTCAAGAAACTTGCCTGCCTGTCTCACAGGTAATTCCAGTTGTTCCGACATAGTAATCTGAAGCAGTGTTGACACAAAATTCAGAGACTTGTGCGCCTACAAACAAAGAAATACATTTAAATTTCTACAGATAAATAAATTTAAAAATAACAGATCCAAGAAACTCCATTATTCTTCCACTGCTTGGCTAGCACAAAAGGCACTTCACAAGTTGTTCCCAACCTTATTTTCCATCACTTCCCTCAGTCGAACTCAAGCCAATTTAATAATCTAACTCCTGAAACATTTTGCATTTGCCTGTAAACTGCTGCACCTTAACTGTATCCCAGCTAATATTCTTATGCAACACTTCTGGCAGCATTTCAAAAACAACATTCTTCTGTGATTCAGATTTCCCCAATTCAGAAATAATTTCTCCACAGAGATGTTTTGTTAAAAGGCCAGGCACATACTAAATCACAAAAATTAATAGCGCTGGGAGATGGTTTCTAAGATGCTGTTAATGTTTTATTTCTTGATATGACTGCTGTTGTACACAGGTGTGTTCAATCTGTAAAAATTAATATACTATGGGTGGTATAGTGCTGTAGGATAAGCACTGGACTGCTAACCATGTAATCACTATTATGTGTATAGGCTCCTCCCTCCAGCCCAAGTTTTAGAATTTTTCTGCACATGAATAATAGTCATTTCTATTTCCTTTATAAACATTTCTCCAAACATTCTAAAAGTACATTCTTACAAAATTTATGGCACTTTGGGATAAACAATAAATTGCTAACCACAAGATTGGCGGTTCAAATGCACCAGGCACTATGAGCTGAAACAAACTTGATGGTGCTTAATACCACCACCATCAACAAACAAGCAGAAATTTATCTCTGTGGATATATGAAAGTTCTTCCATATAAGAACACAGTATAAGTACTTAATTCACTCTAAGAAGACGGGCACAGGAATTTTTTGTATACATCACAGAGAAGGTGGACAGAGGGTTGAACAAGACAACCAGGTCCCATGATCTCAGGAATCTTAGTTTAATGGAGAAAGTAGGGAAACTATTAAAGAATCAAAGAGTATTTTGTAACCCAGACTTGAGGAATGTATCCAGAAAAGCATCCCAAAAGTAATGCCTAAATTTGAGAACTGAACAGGAAGAGACAGGCAAATCAAGGGGAAGGTGACCTTTCCGGTACTCAAAACCAGATCATTTCACTGGTACTGATTAGTTTACTACCTATCACCTACCCTTTTGAAAGAAATACTCTTCTACCTACTATACCACATTTCGTGGGTTGCTTCTCAGGAGTCCTGGTGGCACAGTAATTAAGTGTTCAGTTGCTAACCAATGGGTTAGCCATTAGAACATGCCAGCAACTCCACAGGAAAAAGACTGTCTGCTCCTATAAAGATTTACAGTCTTGGAAGCCCTACTTTCTTTTAAGGTTGCCACTAGTCAGAATCAACTCAATGGCCGTGGGATTTTTGTGGGTTTTTATTGTCATTGTTGTTTATATGGCAATTGCTCATTTCCAGGCCAGACTATTATTAACAAACGTCTCATTATCTTGCAGGCTTCTCAAACATATACTACGTTCAAAACAGCCTTTCCCCTAAAAGCTGTTACTCTATTCACCTGTACTACCTTACCTCCACTGTCACTATCCTTAGAATTACTTAGAACTACCTGAATCTCATCTTTAATACTTCCTCTTCTTCTTCCCCAATAAATTACATCAAGTCCTGTTAACTCTATATTCAAAATGTCTATTTAACAATGCACTCTCTCTATTATGATTAACACCACCATAGCCAGTCACAGGAGTCCTCACGGAACTGCAAGGTTGCAGTTCAAAGCCATCAGTCACTCTGTGAAAGAAAAATGAGGCTTTCTGTTCCTGTAAGGATTTATATAGCTTCAGAAACCCTACACAGGGTTGCTATGAGTCAGAATTGACTTGATAGCAGTGGGTTTGAGTTTGTTTTTTTGTTTTTTTTTTTTAAATAATAAAACCTCAACTCCTTCTCTAAGCTAATAATCCTGCATGATCTTGCTCTTTAAAATACTCTCTCCCTCACCTCCTGCTCTGCCTTATCAATCTTATTTAAGTTCTTTCAGTAAGAAACATATTACCCAAAAGTCTTTGCACTTGCTATGACTTTTTACCTAGGATCTTTCACATACCATGGTATTTTCAATAACCTCATATGCATGTGAAAGCTGGACAGTAAACAAGGAAGACCGTAGAAGAATTAATGCTTTTGAGTAATGGGGTTGGAGGAGAATATTGAAAATGCCACAGGCTACCAAAAGATCTAACAGATCTGTGCTGGAAGAAGTGCAGCCAGAGTGCTTCTTGGAGGCCAGGATGGCCAAACTTCATCTCTCATACTTAAGACATATTGTCAGGAGGGACCAGTCGCTGGAGAACGATATCACGTTTGGTAAGGTGGAAGGTAAGAGAAAAAGAGGAAGAACCCCAGCGAGACGAATTCGAAAAGTGTCAACTCAATGGCTCAAGTGTGGCAACAATTGTGAGGTTGGCTCAGGACCAGGCAGTGTTTTATTCAGTTATGCATAGGGTTGCTATGAGTCGGTACTGACTCGATGACACCTAACAACAACAATCTTCATGAGAGGACACTTCAGGTCTTTTCTTTCACAGCAATTTCACTCTTAGCTATATATCCATGAGACATGAGTGCTTATATTCACAATGGAGTCCTGGTGTGACATTGTAGGACAAACACTACATTATTAACCACTAGGTCAGCAGGTTCAAACCCACTAGCAGCTCCTCGGAAACCCTATGCTGAACCAACTCTATGACACTTCATATATTCAGAATAAGATTTGTCCATTGACAAGTAAATAGAAAAACTGTGGTAGATTAAATACTTCACAGCATGTTTAAAAAAATTAACATAAAACCAACTTATGGAATTAAGCTATAACCCAAACCCCATTGCTATTGAGATCAAGTCATAGCAATCCTGTATAGGGTTTTTAAGGCTATACATCTTTATAGTAGCAAAAAGCTTCATTTTCCTCCTGCAGAGTGGCTGTTAAGTTTGAACTGCTGACCTTGCAGTGAGCAGTTTAGTGCTACAGCACCACCAGGGCTTCTTCAAGCAACAACGCAGGTCTCAAAAACATGAGAGAAAGATGCCAGACTCCTTGAGAACATATCATGTAATTCTTAATTCTATTCATATGAAATTTGAAGGACAGGTAAATCTAATCTATAGCAATTGAAGGCAGAATAGTGGTAACCTGTAGGGAGGGACAGCATACCAAGAAGGCCACGGGAATGTTCTAGGCCAATAAAATGTTACATATCTTGATCTAGGTAAAAATGAGCTGTACATTTATTATATGACCTTTGTATTATATGCAAATTACTCCATTAAAAAAAAAAAAAAAAAAGCAACAAAACTTTTAACCCAAATATTCATAGCAGCATCATTCACAATAGTCAAATGGAAAAATTATTCATGCTCATGAAATGATGAAGGGATAAGTAAAGTGTATATATTCCTAAGATAAAATATCATTTGGCATTAAGAAAGAGAAGTACTGGTACATGCTACAACATGGATGCACCTTAAAAACATAAATGCTAAGTAAAATAAGCCAGACACAAAAAGCAGATTGATGGTTGGTTGCCAGGAGTGGGGGTTTGAAGGGAAAAAGAGGAGAAACTACTAAGAAGTATGGGGTTTCTATGCGTGGTAAAAATGTTCTAAAATCATGGGTTTGGTTGCATAGCTCCTGTTAATATACTAAAAACCACTGCATTATACACTTTAAGTAGATGAGTGATATGACATGTAAATGAGAGATAATCTAAAGTCATTAAAAAAAACTATGAAAATAAGACTATTTTATCACTTAAAAAATTTTAAATTATTTAAAGTTACTTTCACTACCTTAAATAAAAATCTAACCAAAGAAACACACACAAACCGAAAAACACAAATATAAACAAGTATAATGGAGTCCAACAGTGTCACTTTCAGACAGCTGAGATACACTAAGAGACAGTCTATTTATGTCAGCAGGAATAGTATGTGCAAACTTAACCTCGGACATCTACTCACCTGCTCCATAAAAATCTTCAACCCAGTAGAAATCCCTAAAGGAGAAAGTCTTGTATTCTCCCAAAGAAGTTTAAATTGGCATAAGGAATCTTGTCAGGATGATAGAAATGTTCTAAAACAGGATTATGACAATGATGTACAATTTACCAAAAATCATTAAGATTCACATAAAACATTAATTTTATAAAACACAAATTATATCACAAAAAGTTAAAAAAAAAAAAAAAAAGGAAGAAAAAAAAAGGACCACATTCCTATATAAGTATAATTCAAAACAGATATATATATATATAAAAAAAGGATATATTAACTCTTGAAATTAGGAATAAACATTCTTTCAAGCACTGGGTGATATGTAACAATTTTCTGGCATTTTTGGTTATAGCAAATAATCACAAATTATCTTCAGTATTTTTACAATAAAATATTACCAGCATAATCTTTATATATATACTTAAACCCATAATTTTAAATTTTGGGTAGTTATGATATTTTTCTCAAAGTTCGGCAAACAGTAATACTGGCCTCAGAAAACACAATAAATCTTTTATATAAGTGAGAATACAAATATAAATTCTGGATGCTCACATCAATTAGAAGTCTGGAGGAACAGATAGATGGATCACTGAACATCATTGCTGTTGTTATGTGACGTGGAGTAGGTTCCAGCTCTTAGCGACCCTGTACAGGGTTTCTGAGGCTGTAAATCTTTACGGGAACAAAAAGCCTCATCTTTCTCCCAGAGAACAGCTGGTAGTTTCAAACTGCTGACCTTGTGGTTTGCAGCCCAATTCATAACCACTACGCTACCAGAGCTCCTGAACATCATTAAGTAGGGCTAAAACTCAATACTCATTACAATGAAATGTTCTGGAATACCCATTATTTCCCATGTTATCCACTGCTTGTCATAATCCACACAGTCAAAAGCTTTTATATCGTCAATAAAGCACAAACATCTTTTCTGGTATTCTCTGCTTTTAGTCAAGATACAT